AATAGGCTAACTGTTATCCTAAGCTACATATAACATTAGTTTACTTGTCTTAATCTGAAGTTACAGGTCACCAATGGCCTTACAAATGTTTAATCTCCCTAATAGCAAGAGTTATTATTTTATTATTTATTTTATTTTTTCCACACTCTGATTTATTTTAGTTTTATAACCTACTAAAAACGTTATTTTGGTTTAGTTTTAGTCTAAAATCATCTCTTTAACTACATGGTACATGTAGGTTTTACCAGTTGCTTTCACTTCCATAAAAGGAATAGACCACGTGACTTCCGTTTTTGGTTTATAACGAAATGACTGAAGTTCACAGACTCTCTCTCTTCTTTGTGGCGGCTATACCATACGATGAATCATCACAACAGAAGTTTCACACAAAGTCGTTTCGAGGGAACAGTTGTTACAATTAGAAGGGGCTTCCGGCACCAGTATGCCAAAGCCTACTGCTGCTCGCTCCCAGTCCACGGTTTGGGGGTTCTATAAGAATAGATGGTTTGCAGTGGAATGGTCGCCAAAACCTTAACACTAACAGCATAGCTCTCTCTTGTGCTAGAGGCCAGCTTGAAGAGCTCCTGCCACATCACAACTAGTACAATGTAATCACATCACTCAGTTGTCGCGAATCAGATTTACCTATGAAAATTCGACCTCGCTCCAACTGGCTGGGTGACACATCAGGTCAACTGGAAATCCTCCCCCGAGTCCGACGCTGCAAACCCCATGGCATTACCACCTTACTATCAAAAGTTATTCGGGTCGCTCGCCCGAGCGATGGTAGCGTTTACCGTACCCCAGTGGTGATCAATGCCAACAGAGGATGTGACCTGGAGGAGCCCACTTTGCGCCCCCACATTTTTGATCTCTTTTGATATATTTCTATTCATGTCCATGTGTACTGTAAGCACCAATTTATACCAAGGCAAATTCCTCCTACCTATGAAAATGGACCTGGCAATAAACCTGATTTTCATTCTGCATCTGTTTGTTCCATACTTGTGTATTTCTGCATTTATTTAGGTCAACTGTCTGTCTGTCTGTCTGTCTACGTGTGGCACCTTATCACCAAAGCAAAGTCCTACTACCTGACAAATACAACTTGGCAATAAAGCTCTTTCGGATTCTGATCCTCCGGTGTCTGGTCCAGCTTGTCATCCCCGTTCCTGTCTGCCTCGCCCTGCTGCCTGCTTCCCAGTGGCTTTTCACTAACCCCAACCACTCGGGGTCCATTTCACCTAGGTCTTCCGGTGCCGCTGATCCTTCCAAATGTACCATCATCACACTCATTCAAATCTAAAAGACCTCAGATCAGCAAATACTCTCACGTAACTAGAAGATTTTGGGGGTCCTTGGGGTTTCTAAAAGCATTTTCATTTGTTGTTTAACTGCAAGCTATATTTCAGAATGTTTTTTAACAATTTGTGCTTTAAAAAAGTGGTGGAGACAAAATCTCTAGAGCCATGCCTCTAAAATCCAAACCTGCCCACTTGTTAGGCATGGACCACAATGCAGGGATTTTCAGCTGGTTATATGTTCACCACATTTAACACATCTAATTTTGCATGTACAATTTTCATGTGTGCATCTTTGAAAATAGAGATGGATGTTTGCCCTTGTCAACATCTCTGCTCCTCCATTCCATGAGTTACTTATTGAAAATCCTATAGTGACGGTGTCTGTCCCCCGACCATCAGAATTATTTAAATCAAAGGTAAACAGAAGAGGAGCTGTGCATAAAAACCTCATAAAAATTAAAACCACAAGAGCAATAGTGCAAATGAATAGGAAAATTAAATGTGGACTTGGAAATCACTGCAACCAATTCTTTTTGTTATAGTGTACCGAGCACCTGGTCCGTACTCTGAATTCTTATCTGAATTTGCAGTTTTGAGTTGAGTTTTTGTCAACTTTAGTCCTTAAAACGGACAAAGTTATTATTGTAGGGGATTTTAATATTCATGTGGACGTTGAGAATTACAGCTTTAGTACTGTCTGTTAGATTCCATTGGCTTCTCTCAGAGTGTTCATGAACCAACTCACTGTTTTAACCACACCCTCGACCTTGTTCTGGTATATGGTATTGAAATTGAACATTTAATAGTGTTCCCACAGAATCCCTCTTTATCTTGTGGTTTCCGAACGATGCCACAATCTGACCACTGTTTGATAACTTTTGAGTTTGTATTGCTGAACTACACGCCATTTGGCAAAAATTTCTATGCAAGATGTCTGTCTGATAGTGCTGTAGCTAAATTTAAGGATGCGATTCCATCAGCTCTAAATTCATTATCAAGTCACAAAGTAACGGAGGACTCCTATGCTAATTTCAGTCCCTCCCAAGTCGATCATCTTGTTGATAGTGCTGCAGGCTCGCTGCAAATGACACTCAACTCTGTAGCCCCTCTAAAAAAGAAAATACTAAAACAAAGACGGTTAGCTCCATGGTATAATACTGAAACTCAAAAATTAAAAATGCAAATTAAGTATTTAAAAATCATACAATGTGATTTTCTGGATTTTTGTTTTAGATCCCATCTCTCACAGTTGAAGTGTACCTATGATAAAAATTAGAGACCTCTACATGCTTTGTAAGTAGGAAAACCTGCAAAATCAGCAGTGTATCAAATACTTGTTCTCCCCACTGTACGTAATATTGCGAAAATCAGGAACATCCTGTCTAAAAATGATGCAGAAAAACTAGTCCATGCATTTGTTACTTCTAGACTGTTACTTCCATTAAGACTCTTCAGCTGATCCAGAATGCTGCAGCACGTGTTCTGACAGGAACCAGGAAAAGAGATCATATTTCTCCTGTTTTAGCTTCTCTGCATTGGCTTCCTGTAAAATCCAGAATAGAATTTAAAATCATTCTTCTCACATACAAAGCTCTTAATGGTCAGGCACCATCTTATCTTAAAGAGCTCATAGTACCTTACTACCCCACTAGAGCACTGCGCTCCCAGAATGCAGGGTTACTTGTGGTTCCTAGAGTCTCCAAAAGTAGACTAGGAGCCAGAGCGTTCAGCTATCAAGCTCCTCTCCTGTGGAACCAGGTTCCAGTTTGGGTTCAGGAAGTAGACACATTCTCCACATTTAAGAGTAGGCTTAAGACTTTCCTCTTTGATAAAGCTTATAGTTAGGGCTGGCTCAGGTGAGTCGTGAACCATCCCTTAGTTATGCTGCTATAGGCCTAGAGGGGGATTTCCCATGATGCACTGAGCTCCTCTCTCCTCTTCTTTCTCTCCTCATCCAATGCAAACTCATCCCATTAATGCATGTTACTAACACAACTTCTCCCCTTTCCCGTAGTCTTGTGCTTTCTCGTCCCTCTCCTCTCTCCTTCTATCACTTCCTGCAGGTGTTTCTGGCTCTGGAGCTGTGGAGTCTGGATCTGTGGTTGTGAGTCACCTGCTGCCCAACCTCAGTGGGGTCGTTTGCCAGGATCGTCAATACTGCTGGTTCGTTAGTGTTCCTGGTTGTTAGGACTAAACGACCATTGTTGGCATCTTCACCTGAGGCCAATAGGTTACGCTTGTTGAGTTTCCTGGGAAGTGATGAAAGGACAGCATTGTAAGTGGGGGATAAGTGGTGGCGTAGACCCCCTCCCCTGTTCAATGACGGCTTCTCGACCCTGGTGTAGATGGCTTCCTTGACACCTCTTTCAAACCATCCATCTTCTCTGTCTAAAATGTGCACCTGGTGGTCCTCAAACAAGTGTCCTCTGTCCTTCAGATGTAAGTAGACTGCAGAGTCTTGACCTGAGGAGTTGGCCCTTCTGTGTTAAGCCATGCGTTTGTGTAGTGGTTGTTTAGTCTCCCCAATATACAGGTCTCTGCATTCCTCACTGCATTGGACCGCATACACTAGATTGCTTTTCTTGTGTTTGGGTCTTTGGGGTGTACCAGTATCTGTCTTAGTGTGTTCTTGGGTTTAAAAAACACAGGGATGTTTTGTTTGTTGAAAATCCTCCTGAGTTTGTCTGATACTCCAGACACGTTTGGAATCCCAATGTTGTTGCGTTTGACCTTCTTTTCCTCCTCCCCTGTAGTTTTGTTCTTCTTGGATCTTGTGGTTGTTTTCACAAAGGTCCATTTAGGGTATCCACAGGCTGTAAGTGCCCCCTTCAGGTGTTTCTGTTCCTTCTCTCTGGCTTGGGCGCTTGTTGGTATGTTTTCCGCTCTGTGGTGCAATGTTCTCTGGTGGAGGCAGATGGCCGCCTACCCTGAGCCATGGTTCTGCTCAAGGTTTCTGCCTCTTAAAAGGAAGTTTTTCCTTGCCTCTGTCGCCTAGCGCTTGCTCTTGGTGGGAACTGTTGGGTTTCTGTAAATATCATCACAGAGTACGGTCTAGACCTGCTCTTTTATGAAAAGCGTTCAGAGGTAACTGTTGTTGTGATTTGGCGCTATATAAATAAAACTGAACTGAATTTAACCTGCAAACCAATTCCAATAAATCCCTGCTAGATCAATAAACTGTCAATTGTAGTTTGTGTAATAGTGATGTATTAATATAACTCAGCTCCTCGGTCACTCAGTGGCAATTTTCAATTACATTTTTGTTTATCTAGAGCCAGATCATAACAGACAGTATCTGCCCGTCAATCTGAAGATCGGCGGTTCAATCCCCGGCTCCTCCAGGCTGCATGTTGAAGTGTCCTTGGGTAAGATACTGAACCCCTGGTTGTCCCTGGTGGCTGTTCCACCAGTGTATGAATGTGTGTGAATGGTGAATGCGATGTAGTGTTAAAACGCGCTTTGACTAGAAAGGCGCTATACAAATACAGAGCATTTGTCACACAGGTGTCATGTAGGTGAAAAAAGGCGGTTCTTGAAAATACAGTATGCTACCATGGGTCAACACAACCCTTACCACAGGCACGTTCCTGTATACATTGGTATTACATTCAAGACAATTGGTAACTAAAATCTTATACAAAAAAAGTTTTTTCAGTTAAATATATAAAGAAATCAATAAATCGAAACACTTTTCATAATTGTTGGTATCTGTCAACAGCACATTTATTTCAAGTATACAGTACTAATGCTGTAATATAGTAAATGTACTATACATATGGATGTCTTAAAACAGACAAGAGTAACAAATTAACTAAATTCTATTTGGGGATGTCATGTCTGCAGTGTTCAAATCAAGGAAGAAAATAATAGCTGTTGCATCACAACATTGACTTCTGGCTCTTCTGATGTGCTTCACTTCCTCCTTTTCTACTGACAAACACTCCTCCAGATGTCTGATGCAGGTAGCCATTGTAGAAGTCAGCTGCTGTCAGCCTTTTCTTCAGGACCACTGTCTTGAATCCCACCCAGCCATCCTGGAACAGGGAACACAGATCAACATAAATGGTTGACCCACAAAAATATCAGAATGACTTAAATTCTAAAGAAAAGGAAGTGCTATTGTCACTACATTCAAAACAGTCTGGGGTTAGAACAGGCCTTGTTATTAATGCCACAGGTGGAACAGTGTACCTTAAAGTCAGACTCATACTGAGGTTACAAGAGTTGGGCGATCATCTCTATTTTTCTCTAATAATGGCCACTCGAGATCACTGATCGCCAGGGTGTTACGTTGCAGAATGCCAGTGAAATGCCAGAATTAAAAATTTAGGCTTAACTGTAGTGTCAGAGACAACTGTGACATCACAGGGCTCCAGACTAACTTTTCCACTGGTAGCACTGGTTGGTCAGTTGGTCGCACCAGCACATACAGTGGGTACGGAAAGTATTCAGACCCCTTTAAATTTTTCACTCTTTGTTTCATTGCAGCCATTTTCCAAAAATCAAAAAAGTTCATTTTATTTCTCAGTAATGTACACTCAGCACCCCATCTTGACAGAAAAAAACAGAAATGTAGAAATTTTTGCAAATTTATTAAAAAAGAAAAACTGAAATATCACATGGTCATAAGTATTCAGACACTTTGCTGTGACACTCATATTTAACTCAGGTGCTGTCTATTTCTTCTGATCATCCTTGAGATGGTTCTACACCTTCATTTGAGTCCAGCTGTGTTTGATTATACTGATTGGACTTGATTAGGAAAGCCACACACCTGTCTATATAAGACCTTACAGCTCACAGTGCATGTCAGAGCAAATGAGAATCATGAGGTCAAAGGAACTGCCTGAAGAGCTCAGAGACAGAATTGTGGCAAGGCACAGATCTGGCCAAGGTTACAAAAAAAATTCTGCTGCACTTAAGGTTTCTAAGAGCACAGTGGCCTCCATAATCCTCAAATGGAAGACGTTTGGGACGACCAGAACCCTTCCTAGAGCTGGCCGTCCGGCCAAACTGAGCTATCGGGGGAGAAGAGCCTTGGTGAGAGAGGTAAAGAAGAACGCAAAGGTCACTGTGGCTGAGCTCCAGAGATGCAGTCGGGAGATGGGAGAAAGTTGTAGTAAGTCAACCATCACTGCAGCAATCCACCAGTCGGGGCTTTATGGCAGAGTGGCCCGACGGAAGCCTCTCCTCAGTGCAAGACACATGAAAGCCCGCATGGAGTTTGCTAAAAAACACCTGAAGGACTCCAAGATGGTGATAAATAAGATCCTCTGGTCTGATGAGACCAAGATAGAACTTTTTGGCCTTAATTCTAAGCGGTATGTGTGGAGAAAACCAGGCACTGCTCATCACCTGTCCAATACAGTCTCAACAGTGAAGCATGGTGGTGGCAGCATCATGCTGTGGGGGTGTTTTTCAGCTGCAGGGACAGGACGACTGGTTGCCATCGAGGGAAAGATGAATGCGGCCAAGTACAGGGATATCCTGGACGAAAACCTCTTCCAGAGCGCTCTGGACCTCAGACTGGGCCGAAGGTTTACCTTCCAACAAGACAATGACCCTAAGCACACCGCTAAAATAACGAAGGAGTGGCTTCACAACAACTCCGTGGCTGTTCTTGAATGGCCCAGCCAGAGCCCTGACTTAAACCCAATTGAGCATCTCTGGAGAGACCTGAAAATGGCTGTCCACCAACGTTTACCATCCAACCTGACAGAACTGGAGAGGATCTGCAAGGAGGAATGGCAGAGGATACCCAAATCCAGATGTGAAAAACTTGTTGTATCTTTCCCAAAACGACTCATGGCTGTATTAGATCAAAAGGGTGCTTCTACTAAATACTGAGCAAAGGGTCTGAATACTTATGACCATGTGATATTTCAGTTTTTCTTTTTTAATAAATTTGCAAAAATTTCTACATTTCTGTTTTTTTCTGTCAAGATGGGGTGCTGAGTGTACATTACTGAGAAATAAAATGAACTTTTTTGATTTTTGGAAAATGGCTGCAATGAAACAAAGAGTGAAAAATTTAAAGGGGTCTGAATACTTTCCATACCCACTGTACATATAGTGTGTGTGTATATAATATACACACAGCACATAACAGCAGGGTGTAAGATGCAGGCAAGAAGTGCATACATGGAACGCCACAACCAGGTAGCTGTCATAGTGTACAGGAACATCTGCCATGAGTATGGGCTGGAAGCCCCAAGGTCAAAATGGAAGACACCTCCTAAGGTAGTTGAGAATGACCGAGCTAATGTCCTGTGGGACTTCAAGATCCAGACTGACAAACTGGTGATGGCTAACCAACCAGACATCGTGTTGATCGACAAACAGCAGAAGAAGGCTGCAGTGATAGATGTGGCAATCCCAAGCGACAGCAACATCAAGAAGAAGGAACACGAGAAGCTTGAGAAATACCAAGGGCTGAAAGAGGAGCTAGAAAAGATGTGGAAAGTAAGAGCAACAGTGGTGCCAGTGGTAATCGGAGCACTGGGGACTGTGACCCCCTATCTATCTATCTAGCCGTCCGCAGGGCGCAGCTGGCGTTGGGAGGCTTGGATTCTTATCACAACTGCTTGCAGTTCTACTTTATTTTGTATTCTTTCTCTTTATTAATTTATTACTTTAGATAGATACATTGGATGAGTTTTTGTAAAATGTAACAAGATAAATTTGAATGCATTTGTGCCCAATCACCGCGTCATGCAATTGCCCAAGAATTTAAATAATAATGAATTATATTAAATTCATAATTTGTGTTAAAAAGAGAAAGTAATTGCAGCACAGTAGTGGGCATGTCATGACTTTGTTGTTGTACTGATTCTAAAAAATATATATTTTTTATTATTGTCACATTATTGAAGTGATATGATGGAACATTTGCACAGGTTATATCCCACCTGAATTCTGTTGTTCAGGACATTTTACAAATCCTGTAAAACACTCATTCAAATGAATAAATATAATTCTGTGCAATGTTTTGATGTGGCAGTATGGACAAAGTAAAGAAGGACAGGTGTGCAGTTTAGCTTATTGTCAGTACTAGTTGAACAGTTGAGTTAACAGACCTTACAGCAGACAGCCAGAGTATCGGACTCCTTCTGATAGTGCACTGAGCCAGGAACTGGATTCCTCCTTGGATCTGCAAACAGCATGTCAGTGACATAGGACAGCTCAGGTTACACTTTACTGGAGTAGCATAGGGCAACAGCAAACACACACACATCAAATCTTAATGCCGCTGCCCTGAAAAGATTCCTAATAAAAAGTGTTAAAAGTAGGATTGTAATGTCGGTACAATGCCAAAGCATTGCAATGCAAAGCTTCTCAGGCCCTATTCATAGTTTTCAGTCATGTGACATGTGCGGTGACCTGGAGGGTAAAACATAGACCAATATAGCGGCTCACACTGTGACCTACACCGTCGATTCGACGCAGATGTATAAATTGCACTTAACAGAACTGGCGTTGTGAAATATATACATTTTAGATACTTACCAATACTGAATATTTTAAACGGTTTAATACTCATTTTCCACAGTATCGATACTGAAAATACGCTTCTGTTCTATGCTCTCAACAGCGAGTTGACACACACACAAAGCTGAAGCGCCCACATAGCCCTGCCTCCTGTCACTCACAGCGCTGTCTACTTGTCTCGTTTGCTCTGGTTGAATAGCATAATTTTTTTTCCTGCTGGAGTTTCAACAAGTCCCACATTACTGTGCTGTGAGTGGCTAGTACTCATCACTTGTGAATGAATGCTGGCAAAGGTTACAAGCAAGTCCATTTGAAAGTGACAAAACCAACTGAGCAAAGCACCTGCTGGACTGACACTCTGACCTCTATAAAGAGGAGAGGTTAGAGATGTCTCCCCTTTCAACATCACTAAAGTATTAAACAAGATGGACCAGTAAACTGTTGTTGATAAGATAGTTGTCCTGTTTGCCTAACAGCCATTTATAATTCTCAAAACTAAACTAATCCCCTTCAGAGCTATCAGACCTGAGGAATCTCAGACAGCAAAGATTCAGCTGATAGGAAAATACTAAAGCCCCATCCACACTACTCCGCTTTTGTTTAAAAACTGAGTTTGAAAACAAATACGATCTCGGTCCACAGCAGCGCTTTAGCTGTGTATAAGAGTTGATCTCCGTCTACATCAAAACAACTGAAAACGAATCCACATCCAATCCAGATTACCACAAAATCTAGTGGCCGTTCACATACACTGGCCATGTGTGTGGAGAGGGGTGTGAAGAGACACTTCACAACATGCAATATTAGGTTCACGAGAACGAGACAAAAAGATCCTTAAACAGCGTTTTTAAGATATCTTCAATGCTGAAGATACATGAGCGGGGGGTCTGGTGGAACCCCAGACCATTAAACACTTCATTTCCTGCATTCTGGTGAAAGTTTCTGCACCAATTTATGGTGGAAATGTTTTATTTACGTAAAAGGAAACACAAACTTCAGGGAGCACGTGACATTTTAATATAAATATAATAGAATCTCAGTGAGTGTAGCTCTCAGGCATTCTGTGCTGCTTTCAGATCTCTTTCTCCTCTAGATCTACTTTTCTCATGTAATATCATCCCTGCTGAGGCAACACACATGCAGGCATGATTTAGTCTTCCCTCCTCTTTTGTCATGTTCACAGGGAGAGAACGGAAAACTTCGCCAAAAAGTGGGAAAGTTCACATTTTGGGGTCATTTTATGAGCTTAAGTTCCTTTTTTTGCACATTTGTTTCATCTATATTTTAATTGCACTGCATGTTTTCTTAGTGTGCAAATAAACTTTTCTAAAGGCATTTTCATTTGTTATTTAACTGCAAGATATATTTCAGAAAGTTTTTAACAAATTGTGCTTTAAAAAAGTGGTGTAGCGTCCCCAGTGTAACTGATACCTATGCATGAAGCAGATGGTCTATATGGCCAAAGAAAAACACCAGAATTTATTTTGCATGGACCAACAACGAACTGGAACTATTACTGAATGTAACACGGGAGTTTAAAGTGACTGTGGCGGTGGAAAACAGACTTGGAGTCGACGCAAAGTAACCGACGACATACACAGTACAAGTGTAGAATGCTGCAAATGTTATTTGCACAAATCAAAATATTTTAATAAAACTACCATATCAAAAACTCTGTCAGTAGCATCGTGTTTCTGCTTTGCATTAGTTATAAGACCCAATCAGAAAGCCAAATGTGAGCGTCTGCGTCACCGTTTTGCCCATCTGCATTAAAAAGTAACTGTATTAGTCTGGACGGGAGGTGCAAACATAGCAGAAGGTCTCAACGCAGTAGTGTGGATGGGGCCTAAGGTCATACGTTAATTAACTGAAGCTGTTCTGCTTAACACACAGTACTATTAACTTTACTTACTGAGATAAGTTGATTAAATAATTTAGTAATTTAATTCAGTAATTTAATCACAAATATTGATTTTTCAAGGTATTGTATTGAAGAAAGAACAAAACACGAAACAGTACTTTACTTGAGTACAGTTATTGGCCACTCTACCCACCTCTGTTCATGGTCCAATAAATCTGAATTTAACAAACTTACCACATAACGAAATGTTACATTTTCCTACAAAATCCAGAAGTTTTATTGTCCTGCCCATCCATGTGGTCCTCAAAGGAACCTGATGGCAGAGAGAAGATTCATTACAGTGATATTCCACAGGGTCTTCCATTGCTCAAAGTGAACAACAGTCCAGGTCAGTTATCATTACCCGGGATCCAATGGCACGATACAGGCGACTAATTTGGTCACAAGTCTGTTCCTCCCACACCACCCAGCTCATGGACACAGTGATTTTTGGGGCTGTTGGATGAAACGAATATGTAAGTTGGAAGAATTCCTCATATTTTATATTTAGTATGACTAGGGATGCATCGAAATGAAAATTCTTGGCCGAAGCCAAGTCGAATATAATGAAAGATTTTTCCATTTATTTTGCCAATTTTTTTACCACTGCATAAATTAAATAGTCAACATGTGCTTTTTCCTCAGTGTTTCCCCACAGGATTTGGAGAGACTATGGTGGGTGGGTCCGGGGCCTGAAAGGGTCCGGTGAAGTAAATTACATGTGTCCATTTACTTTTAATGTAATATGTTTTCTACTTTCTGTGAATATAATCCAATTAATCTTATTTCCATCCTGTATAGACACCCTATTTTGAAAACCGGACGTTGACACGTGTATCCTCGCACTGAATTCATCAAGTCCGACCCACTTTGATGTGTGTCTAACACACTTCTCTGCTCCTCCATTCCAGGAGTTACTTTGCGAAAATCCTATAGTGACGGTGTCTGCCCCCCGACCATCGAAATTATTTAAAAAGGTAAACAGAAGAGGAGCTGTACATAAAAACCTCATAAAAATTAAAACCATAAGTTCTATATTGCAAACGAATAGGAAAATTAAATGTGGACTCTTAAACGTCAGATCTCTCTCCTCTAAAGGTGTACTAGTAAATGAACTAATATCAGATTATGATATTGATTTATTTTGTCTTACTGAAACCCGCTGGGTGATGGAGAATATGTTAGCCTAAATGAATCCACCCCTCCCAGTCATATTAATACTCACATTCCTCGAAGCACAGGCCAAGGAGGTGGAGTTTCAGTTATCTTCGTGCTTCATGCTTTGATAGTATTGATTGGAAATGTGCATGTAATGTAGATGTGATAGAAGGAATATGTTAGGACATGTTGAAGCTTGTTGTGAAATACTGGACTGAGTGTGACAGCCTCATGACTGTGAGTCATTGAGAGAGAAGGTTCAGCAGGAGAAATGAGTGGAGGGAACAAGGACATCTCTGAAACAAATGAACAATCTATGTGCCAGTAGTCACGTAGACAGGATAAGGGTGGTGGCTGATAGGACAAAGAAATCAGCCACGGAGTAGGATATATAAAGAGAAGCCAGAAAGAGATCGGGGTTATTCCTCGGCGGATCTCAAGAGGCATCGGACTCGGAACAAGACCATCACCGCACCGGACCAAGAGCCAAGACAAGAGATGGGGATTTGAACAGCAAACAACTAGGGAACGCTTCAGAGATTTCTTCAGCAAAGTTTCAACAGATCATGCCACGGAGGATAACCATAACAGCCAAGACAACTGAAGAATCATCGGACTCGGAAGATTTTCTCCTTTTCAACTGCGACGAAGACTGAAGACTTTTGAAGACAATTTGAGGGCTTTGGACAAAGCCTCAGGTTTCCACCAGAGTCATCAGCTCAGCAGAAGAGGGAAAGAGCTCCTTGGCCAGGACAACTCCTTCCCCTCCCTTTCTCTCCAAAAAAGAAGAAAACCAAAAACATTCAAGCCCAGCTATTTGTATCAGGTTTTGAATTTTAAACAGTTTTATTATTTTTACTAATTTTAATCAGTTTTAGCTGTATGCTTGCCCTTGCTAACTTTATGCAATAAAATATATAATCACTGCATTTAAAGAATGATAGTCGACATTGAAGTTATTTCCTCACTAAGGTAGTAATCAATTAGGTAAAGTGTGTTTAACATCTTTGAGGTTCTTATAGGTTGCTCTAGCCACTGAAATTAACTTATCCTTGGGGCCTATTTTCCTGGCCACTAAATACCAACCTGGCAACCATACCAAGTGCACTGATCAATGAGAAGAGAGCTGTCGTTAACGGGCGTGGCTGGGGTGGTATCTGGCTCTAGGGCTATTCAGTCAGGTGCCATCTCAGAGTAAGCAGGGTAGGCGTTCGGAAGAAGACAGTTAGAAGCCAGGCGAATCTCTTCGACACCAGCTTAAACAGTCCTCAGTCATACCTACTAGGGTAATACCCATAGGCCTAGAGGATCAGACCCTTTAAGACGGAGAGCTGGTCCAGTACCTCCTGAACATGGGTGACTCGGGATCTAACAAACCTCATCCCATTAATGCATGTTACTATTTCCACTTTTTCCCTTTCCCGTAGTCTTGTGCTTTCTCCTCCCTCTCCTCTCTCCTCCTATCACTTCCTGCAGGTGTTTCTGGCTCTGGAGCTGTGGAGTCTGGATCTGTGGTTGCAAATCACCTGCTGCCCCTGTGTTCCTGCTCAACACCCTCTGCTACAATTATTGTTACTAGTCCTATTGTTATTATTGTTATTATGATCATTAACATTACGATTATTATCATTAACACTACTATAAATATCTGTATCATTATTCATTCAGTCTATAGCAACATCACCTTTACTGTCTGTACCTCTGTGTATATTGTATAGGCTGCCTTCCTCCCCTCTCAGTCTCCTTCCATCTCTCTCTCTCTCTCCCTCACCCCCAACTGGTGGAGGCAGATGGCCGCCCATGGTCCTGCTCAAGGTTTCTGCCTCTTAAAGGAAGTTTACTTGCCTCTGTCGCCTAGTGCTGCTCTTGGTGGGAACTGTTGGGTTTCTGTAAATATCATCACAGAGTATGGTCTAGACCTGCTCTTTTATGAAAAGCACTCCGAGATAACTGTTGTGATTTGGCGCTATATAAATAACATTTAATTGAATTGCTAGGAGAACAGAGCAGTGTCTGCAAACAGCGACTTTGGTGACTTTCTCAGACACTTTGAAATGCTTCCGTGCTGCCTACATGTCAAAGTAATTGTCGGGTAAAATTTCTTAGGCCTTTTGACTCATTAGGCCGAACACCAAAAGTGCAGTATTTGCTATATCAGCCGATTAGTTTCAGTGACCGAACATTTGGTGCATCCCTATTCATGACTGTTTCTATGTCTGTGAAGGTTCTCAGTCATCCAGGTCATCCAAAAGAAGCTTAAAGTCAAGGACAGCTGGACTTGGTTGAAGATACTAGAAGACGTTTTGTCCCTCATCTAAGAGACCTCTTCAGTTCTGACTGTCTGGAAGGGAAGCTCAGCTATTTAACCTCTGTGGGGTCGTTTGCCAAGATGATCGATTCCACAGGTTCGTTCGTGCTCCTGGCTGTTGTAACAACAGGTCATTAGAGCCACACGCGGCCAAGTCTGAATGACCAATGTTGTCAACTTTGCCTGTGGCCAAGAGGTAAAATTTTAGTTTCCTGGGAAGTGGTGAAAGGACAGCATTGTAAGTGGGGGATGAGTGATGTCGCAGAGTCCCTCCCCTGTTAAGCGACGGCTTCTCAAATGGCTTACTTGACACCTCTTTCAAACCATCCAGCAACATTAACTCAGTCACTTACAACATTGCTAAATACATATCTACTGTCCTAGCCCCCTTCGTTGGCAACACGCTGAACCACATCCAAAACTCCAAAGACTTTATGAACAAAGTCCGAGGTCAGAAATTGGACCCAGAGTAAACCATGGTGTCCTATGATGCAACTTCCTTGTTCACATGCATCCCCACTATGGAGGCAGTAGAAACCATAAGTACATGACTGCTAAAAGAAAACCCACTGGATAGTAGAACTAGCCGCAGCCCTGAGAAGATCTGCCTCCGCCTAAACACCACCTATTTCCAGTACAACTGAGGATTTTACTGTGCAATGGGCTCATCTGTATCTCCTATTGAAGCCAACATTTACGTGGAAGAAGTGGAGAACAAAGCCCTGAACTCCTTCAGAAGAACAGCACCAAGCCACTGGTACAAGTATTTGGACCACACATGGGTCAAAATTAGGGATAGGGATCGTTCCCCTGCTCTAAAAAGGACCCGGTTCAAAAATTTCTCAAAACCTGAAAATCAATAAGGTCCGAGCTTATGGATAACTGCTATCGAGACTAGCGGGTCCTATAATATAACAATATGTCTCGAGCGTCAAATCTGGTTTAACTTGAAACGCAATGGATGACAAAACTAATGTTTTTATTGATGGCACAAAATACGGTTTCAAACGGGCCCTGGACTGTCTATCATCAGGCTGCAGCCTCTGCTGCTCTGTTGGCTCACACACACACACACACACACACACAAATTCATGGCAATGCAAGCCCCCCCCACCCCGAAGTACCAGTACTTTTGGGTTGTACTACCCCCCAAAGCAAGGACTTTTTGGGGAGTAAAACACCTTACATACCACTGATGCGCAGACCTGTGTGAAATTGGTAGTTGAACGCAAATAAACATCCTTGTCCGGAATATCCAGAAAAATCACATCCCTGCAAAAAAGTAAGTATTGGTCTGCATTTTATTGGTTTGCAAACAACGGTGGAAAAGAGATGAGCAGTCATAGAAAATCACCCGGGATTCTCCAGTTAAAGCCAGTAGCCTCTACTCGCCCATTCAGAAATTCACTGCAAAGCAAGCCCCACCCCCCTAAAGTACCGGTACTTTCGGTAAGTACTACCCCCTGAGCAGGGACTTTTTGGAGGTAAAATAAAAACCCTAGAACTAAATTTAGACCCTGGTCCCTCCGGTGGAAAAACAGTGAGTTCCTCCCAAGGTTCCTAGTTCCGGGGTATAGTTCCTTTAATTGAAACGCAGCTTAAGACAGATACTGGTCCACCCTAAAGACCGCACAATTAACTGTAACTGTGGGATTAATAAAATATATCTTCTTCTTCTTCACACCCAAGCACAAGAAAAGTAATCTAGTGTATGCAGTCCAATGCAGTGAGGAATGCACAGACCTGTATATTGGGGAAACTAAACAACCACAACACACATTAATGGCTCAACAAGAACTCCTCAGGTCAAGACTCTGCAGTCTACTTACATCTGAAGGACAGAGGACACTCGTTTGAGGACCACCAGGTGCACATTTTAGACAGAGAAGATGGATGGTTTGAAAGAGGTGTCAAGGAAGCCACTTACACCTGGGTTGAGAAGCCGTCTCTGAACAGAGGAGGGGGTCTACGCCACTACTTATCCCCCGCTTACAATGCTGTCCTTTCATCACTTCCCAGGAAACTCAACAAGCACAAACTATTGGCCTCAGGTGAAGATGCCAACGATGGTCGTTCAGACTTGGCCATGGGTGGCTGTAACGACCATGACGACTGGCGTTACCACAGCCAGGAGCACAACGAAGCAGTGGTATCGATCATCTTGGCAAACGACCCCACTGAGGTTAAATAGCCGAGTTTCCCTAAAAGCCAGTCAGAACTGAAGAAGTCTCTTGGATGAGGGACGAAACGTCTTCTGGTATCTTCAACCAAGTCCGGTTGTCCTTGAATTTAACCTTCTTTGGATGACTGGGTCTATGTAGTCAGGAGCTACATACCAAATGTCGCACCCGTCTGTCCTTGCTCCCTTTTATGTGCCCTTCTGTCAGACAGTGTCATCAATGTATCAATCAGCTGCAATCAAAACGTGACCATACCGTTAGTATGTCATACGTCATATGGTAACAATCTTCTACCAGGCATGTTCTAACAACTCACCAGATGTGCTCCCTTTGTGGCTAGGGCAGCTCCAAGCTCTTCAGCAGTGCAGTTCTCATGGACCTGATGGAACTCCTGGTTGAGAATGGGGCCCACGTCAAACCTGGGATGTGAGGACATTCTGTTTATGTTTGTAGTGAGGACAAAATAGGATGAAAACTGAGAAGCTTTCTGTCTGTGCACCTGTGAGGGCGGATCTGCATGATGGTGACTCCCGTCACAGTGTCACCATGAATGATGGTGTGGAAGACGGGTGCTGGACCTCGCCACCTTGGCAGCAGGCTGGGGTGAACATTTAAAATCCCGCTGCAAGGAAAGAGTGTGTGCACAGACACACATACATAGTTTATATACAGTTTAGACTGTCATGCCTCTGTGTCCAAGTTTATGTAGTGGCCATGGATTCAGGCCAACACCACCCTGTTGCTGTGAGGACAGCGTATACACTGAACATTGTTTTGAGATGACTTTTTGTAGCAATCTTATCACATTTCAGTAGTGGAGCAACGGATCCTAGTTGAACCATGATCCAGGAAACAGTTTTACTGGGCGGGACATCGAAAGGGACTACAGACAGAGAGAGGCGGCTCCATTAGAGCCAAAGTAGCACATTTTAAAATGATTTTAACCCTAACCCTGATCTGAAAAATGATCGTGTTTCCATGGCTCAAAACCATGGATCGATCTGGACCGTGAGTTTTGTGATCTGTTGTCCCACCACATGTCAGGCAAAAAACTCTGAGGAGACAAAGATGCACAACATGTAAACATGTAGCTTTATGTGGTAACTGAGGTTAATAAGTTGTTTTATAAATACACAAAATGGCCAAAAGTATTTAGACACCGCTTCTTGTAAATCACAGCACTGTGAGACAGTCAGACAAGTTGTAAAGGAAACAGGTGTATGCTCAAACCCACATGTAAAGTAGGACAACGTTAAAGCAGAATGTAAACTGATGGATGTTTCCAACAGACTCACTGCCTCACTGTCTGACTTACTTGTGTTTCCTGACCTGTCTAACCTTTTCTGAGTATTGTGGCGACACACTGAGATCTCTGCCATTACTTTGTTTAGTACAATGTATTCCTAACCTAACTGCAGTTTTTATAATTTATAGCTTGGATAAGTGACCTCCAGTGGCAGATATGAGATTTCTATTAGTCAGCCACTGGCTTAAGATTCAGGGGGGTACTGAGGACGCTGTCATCACATTTAACATGATTTGTTCCTGGCCAGACCAGAGCAGAGCAACAGTCCACAGGTTTTAAAACATCACTGATACACAAAAAATGCTCACTGTGGAAACTTGTTGATCAGTCTCTCAGGGAGTAAACAGCCAAAAGACACCACCACCCCAACATCAAACCGTCCATCCACATTGTCAGGCGGCCAGCTGTGGACTGGAAGGTGGTTCTGCTGAGCAAACCTCTTGACTGGGACTTCACCAGACAGAGTAACAACTTCAAGGGACTCCACTACCCCATCCCGGGAGCTCCTACAAACAGAACATGGAGTTTAGTTGCATGCACACAATTCCCTTATTCCAAGATGACGACCATGTTAAAGCTGTCTATAAAATATATTCACACTACTTTTTTTACATACTTGTAGAATATTTTAGAATGTTGTAACATTTTAAGCTTGTTCTGTTGCTGCTTTTGATATATTTGTGCTGTGTTTAGTCGTTGTAAACTTTGATCTCAATATAACACTTTTTAAAATACATTTTTAACCCACACATATACGTGTATGTATGCATACACACCATACAATAGCAAATAAACCAATAAGTAACTAACAGTCAACAGTCAAAGGTGTAGAAAATGCAGACAGTGTAAAAATGTTCCTTTGAATTGTCCACATTTAAAACATTGATAACAATTTTTGATAAGTATGAGGTCGGGACTCTATGGAGACATCTCTGTCCTCTGCTCTCTGACAAATCCTACTCATTCTCCCTGTGGTTCAATGAATCAATTTATTCAATTGATGATTTTTCTTTTGTTTTTTAAGGGTGAATCATAAAATATGAAGACAGACCTCAAATAGAAGCTTGACAACAATGGTGTCACCTATTAAGGAATTGTTTTGGTCAAAGGTTAAAGTTCACAGAAATGTTAACAGTCTGTTTAATTTTCACTGTTTGAGGGATTTTTAGAGTGCAATCTCTCATAGTTGGAACAGTAAAACATTATGATATATGTACCAGTGACAGTAGAGGACACTAGGAAGGAGAAGCCATGACAACACTGAACTAACTGTTTACACTGGTGAAAGGTCAAATCTGATTTAAATTAAGTTCACAAAATTACAAAGAAAAGGTACATTTCGTATTTGTATTAATAACAAATAATAAATCGTATTATTATTAAAACTATTATCATTATTGTTATTATTAGTAATATTATTATATTACCGTGGTATGTATTTGTGTTCATTTAATCACTAAGACCATCACAAAAAAACACCTTCGGCTCACTCGCAATCCGTCCTTACCACAATAACACTGCTTTAGGAGCAACAGAAATCAGATGGCGGCTGGCTTGACCACGATTTCGCATTTGGTGGCTCACGTTACCGCAGTGAAACACTTTTTTTTTAAGTATTATTGCAAAAAAACAAGTGACTTTTCAAAATATACGTAACAATATGCAAACATACTATGTAGACAAAATACAATAGAGTTTTGCCAGGGGAAGCTAGGTCATTATAACGAGAGGGAGGACCATAAGTTTTAGTCTTTTTGTTATTGGAGCCAGAGATCAGATTAATATAATATCCAACTTCATGGAGAAAAAGTACAAAATTAGTTTTTTTAGTGCTGAATTTACATTTATGAATGTGAAATAACGCAAAGTCTTTATAAATATTCAAATAGTCAATGATGAATCTGCTGAGGTTTTGCCAAAATGTTCTGGTGTGCGAGCAATACCAAAAGAGGTGCATAACAGTTTCTGGGTGATCTTCACAAAAATAGTTTGTATTGATGTCTTTTAAATTTAACCATGAAATGATTAGCAGGGTCTGAGCAATAGAATCAGTGACCTCTGCCATTGTAAGAGGGGTGTCACAATAATCTTTATCTGACACATCAATCTTTCACATTATTTACATTAGTTTAGAAATTGAGATGTAACTTCTTTGTTATATTTTGAGCTGTATAAATTGCAATAAAATTTCGAACAAAGATCTGAAATTAATTTAGCGTCATCAGTAACGACCCCATTAATATTTAAATTATAGATGGAATTGATTTTGGATCGATAATTTTCTAGACGGAAAAAGTAGGTAGAATTTTGCTCCCCCTCCCCCAGCCACCTCTTCCTGGACCTTACAAAGACTCCCTCTGCTTTTTGTTGATACAACTTGTCTAATTTGTTTTGGAGTTGTAAAAGAAGTAGTTTATCCTCCTCTGAAACTTCCTCGGGGGGTCTCTGATAAAATGAGGAAATTTTACTAATGACTTCCTCTTCTTCTGCTCTTTTAGCTTTGGCAACAGAGGTTCCAAACTGTCTTAAGAATTTTCTGACTCAAACTTAAGTAGCTCCCAGTTAGTGTTGTAGGATTTCTCCCTTTTAGCCTTGTTGTAAAAAAAGAGTAAGTTAACTTAATAATTTCAGTCTTAACCTTTTCATGTTTTAATATGGAATTGTTTAATTTCCAGTAGCAAGATCTATGGATTGTATTAGATGCACTAAATTGGATGCTTATATGAATTGCTCTATGGTCAGTGGAGGGTGTCTCAAGAATATTTACTGTAATTTTCTCTTTATAAATGTTACTGGATAACAGCCAAAAAACAATGTGAGGCTGGCTGGATCCTGACCTGTTAATCCCAGTGAAGGATCGTAGATCAGGAAATGTTTCTCTCCTCACACTGTGAAATTTTCCTGTAAGTGTTTTAAGGTTTGGGCTGAGGGAGGAGGGCTGCCCAGGGGGCCACCTGTCAATACCATTATCTAGAGCAATATTAAAGTTTGGATATCTGGTTGACCAAATGTAATTCTTTCCTCTATTGAATCAAGTAACTTATCATTCTCAAGTTTGTTATTATAACCATAAAGATTAATGACTATGATAACTCATAAGACAGTGAAACACTCTCCCATAGCAGTGACAAATGAGCACAATACTGTGAAGTACTATGAAGCGTGTGGTGCGGAGCAGGCCTGCCCTTAAACTTGGTAACGGACTGACCCGATACAGGGGGCGTAATCAATTTTCGCTGTTCTAGCTGTTTTCTGTCCAAAAACAGTGGCCCTTTGTGTCAACAGAGACAGTCTGGCGGGCCGCCATCTTGGTGAGGTCGGCTTTGTCTGGAAGTTTCATTTCTGTCCTCAGATTGAAGTGGAGAAGAAGAGTTTGCTTTAGCAGAGGCGGCCTTTATTGGCCTCTACTGGCAACCTGTAGGAGCTACACAGACACCCAGGAAATGTATGGATTTGTCTCTTTGTATCTTTTTTTCTCCATCAAATTTAGAGTTACAGTTGTATTCCAGGTGTATTAGAAGATATTCAGGTGCATTATAATTTATCTTATGATGGTTTTGATGGTTTATTGCATTAAAATATAGCTCTTTTACCAGGCAAGGATGAAAATATCATACTTTTTCTGTATTTCATCTCCATGTAGTCTGTAATGGAAAAATAAACATGTTAATGTACAATGGATTTTATTCCTTGGCTTCTGACCTTTCAAAGGAGAATTATGCATCTAGGCATAATGGTTGAGGAGATATTACTGATTTATGACAAGATGAGCTCAGCGAGGAATGTTTTGCGCTTTCTTTCAGCATTCAGACTTTTCTTTTTACTACTGCCTTTAATTAAATTTAATTAAATTAAAGCCATAGATTGGTACCTTTCACTGCACTGTAACGTCTGGTTTTCATTTAAATTTTTTTAGATTTTCAGTGCCCTGATTGTCACTGCACGGTAACTTTTACTGTCCTGTTTTAACCTGTTTTTTATCCTGTTTTTATAAAGCGTTTTATTTTTTCAATTTCCCTTTGTTGCTTTTATGTTTTATGTAATGCACTTTGAATTGCCTTGTTGTTGAAATGTGCTATACAAATAAACTTGTCTTGCCTATGTGTCATTTGAGGTTGATATTTGCACCACTGGAAGCGGTATAGTAACGGTAGGCTTTTTGTGTAGGACCATAGACTGTATATAAAAAGTGTAGGACTCACACCTGCTGGATGTGAGGAGTTTAAGAGATTCCACAGCGAAATGATCAGAGCCAAAGAACAAGAGCCTCCAAGGGGGCCCCGCTGAGGACATGAGCCGCCGCTGTCGCCCGTCATTCCTCGTCCTCCACCCTGTCCGCACACAGCAGCGCTGGAACCGGTGGAGGAGGTTAAGAGAAGCTGCTGCTGTCTTACCGCTCGTCCACATCCTCACATCAACTGTCGGTTCGTGTGTCTAAAGATTTTTGTATCTGTACTCTATTTACCAAACATATGTCCACATAGGCGCCGCCATGTTTTCCATTACGTTTCTTCATGGCTTCTTCTTCTTCTTCTGTTCCTTTCCGGCACTCTAGGCACTGTGAGTGCATTTCTGCCTCCCACTGGTGATAGAGGGCCTTTCTCATTTCCCAAATTTCCACCTCCTCGACTCCTCGCGGCTTTTCTGTTATCAAGGCAATAACTACGAACTAACTAAAAAAAAATTATGCAAGGACTTATGTATGTGCAAACACGTGAAATTGGTATCACATGTAATTGGCATGTTATGGAATTTAACTATGGCAATTAAGTGAGAGGAGATGGAAAGCTATGATGTCTACACGTCTTCCTGAAACATTGTTGTTTGTGGTGGTGATGGTGCAATGGATAAGACACAGGGCTTTGGTGTGACAGAACCGGGTTCAACTCCCCAATGTGTCCCTGAGCAAGACACTTAACCCCTCGTTGGTCCAGAGGCGTGCGACCTCTGACATGCATAGCAATTGTAAGTCGCTTGGGATAAAAGTGTCAGCTAAATGTAAAATTTACAAGGCTATGGATTTTAATAATTTTACTAATATATAGGTGAACATATAGGTGCATATATATTTACATATATGTGTACATACAGTGGGTACGGAAAGTATTCAGACCCCTTTAAATTTTTCACTCTTTGTTTCATTGCAGCCATTTTCCAAAAATCAAAAAAGTTCATTTTATTTCTCAGTAATGTACACTCAGCACCCCATCTTGACAGAAAAAAACAGAAATGTAGAAATTTTTGCAAATTTATTAAAAAAGAAAAACTGAAATATCACATGGTCATAAGTATTCAGACCCTTTGCTGTGACACTCATATTTAACTCAGGTGCTGTCTATTTCTTCTGATCATCCTTGAGATGGTTCTACACCTTCATTTGAGTCCAGCTGTGTTTGATTATACTGATTGGACTTGATTAGGAAAGCCACACACCTGTCTATATAAGACCTTACAGCTCACAGTGCATGTCAGAGCAAATGAGAATCATGAGGTCAAAGGAACTGCCTGAAGAGCTCAGAGACAGAATTGTGGCAAGGCACAGATCTGGCCAAGGTTACAAAAAAAATTCTGCTGCACTTAAGGTTCCTAAGAGCACAGTGGCCTCCATAATCCTCAAATGGAAGACGTTTGGGACGACCAGAACCCTTCCTAGAGCTGGCCGTCCGGCCAAACTGAGCTATCGGGGGAGAAGAGCCTTGGTGAGAGAGGTAAAGAAGAACCCAAAGGTCACTGTGGCTGAGCTCCAGAGATGCAGTCGGGAGATGGGAGAAAGTTGTAGTAAGTCAACCATCACTGCAGCAATCCACTAGTCGGGGCTTTATGGCAGAGTGGCCCGACGGAAGCCTCTCCTCACATGAAAGCCTGCATGGAGTTTGCTAAAAAACACCTGAAGGACTCCAAGATGGTGATAAATAAGATCCTCTGGTCTGATGAGACCAAGATAGAACTTTTTGGCCTTAATTCTAAGCGGTATGTGTGGAGAAAACCAGGCACTGCTCATCACCTGTCCAATACAGTCTCAACAGTGAAGCATGGTGGTGGCAGCATCATGCTGTGGGGGTGTTTTTCAGCTGCAGGGACAGGACGACCGGTTGCAATCGAGGGAAAGATGAATGCGGCCAAGTACAGGGATATCCTGGACGAAAACCTTTTCCAGAGTGCTCTGGACCTCAGACTGGGCCGACGGTTTACCTTCCAACAAGACAATGACCCTAAGCACACCGCTAAAATAACGAAGGAGTGGCTTCACAACAACTCCGTGGCTGTTCTTGAATGGCCCAGCCAGAGCCCTGACTTAAACCCAATTGAGCGTCTCTGGAGAGACCTGAAAATGGCTGTCCACCAACGTTTACCATCCAACCTGACAGAACTGGAGAGGATCTGCAAGGAGGAATGGCAGAGGATACCCAAATCCAGATGTGAAAAACTTGTTGCATCTTTCCCAAAACGACTCATGGCTGTATTAGATCAAAAGGGTGCTTCTACTAAATACTGAGCAAAGGGTCTGAATACTTATGACCATGTGATATTTCAGTTTTTCTTTTTTAATAAATTTGCAAAAATTTCTACATTTCTGTTTTTTTTCTGTCAAGATGGGGTGCTGAGTGTACATTACTGAGAAATAAAATGAACTTTTTTGATTTTTGGAAAATGGATGCAATGAAACAAAGAGTGAAAAATTTAAAGGGGTCTGAATACTTTCCGTACCCACTGTACATGTATGCACATATATGTACATATAATATAGGAAAACAGCCAATTTTATTTATGTCACATATATTCAAAACCTATATTAAAACATATATGTTTATATAGATTCTTTCCATGTGGGTACCTACAAAAATAGAGAGTGACTTCTACACACAACTGTTTTTGCACATTTGCAGATTACTTTCTGTCAGTTTGTGGGTCATGTTACATTTGTAACTTCCTTTTAACACATTTGTGGAATTTTGTCCAATGTGTGCAATCACAAATGTAAAAATACATATTTGTAGATAGTTTGACATTATAACACAGAAACATCTCGAGGTTCCAATAAACATAATATCATCTGTTGAAAACAGTCAGATTACAGCAGCCTGATCATTCACTAGGTTACACAGTAGGCTACTACTTTGCGATTCGCCATTTGCCTGCATTTCCCGTGACACAGGAGATCATTTCAGCCCTCAGCTTGATGAGATGAGCGTTTCATCATCAGTCCCTTTACAAATTGACACAGTAACATTCATCTCATACACTCTAAAAACTAATTCAGGGAACCTTTAGTCATTACTTAAATATATATTGTGAAATAAAAAATCAAGTTCTAAGATACTGTTAGACTTTTTACTTGTAATTGTTATTTTACTGAGCTTGGATGACACACAAATTATGCCTCCTGATTCAATATACTATCATGACAGAGTTTAACATTTTCAGTTAATCAAAAAACAATTTAATTTTAAGTTCTGTTAACGTAAAATACAATTTGTTGACGTTTAAACGGCCCACAGTTTCCCTCTCTTGCATGTTCAAGGCAGACGAGTGACCACAGTTAGCTGGACATGATTAGACTATGATGAGAAATACTAAAGGTAACTCGCACAACACAACTTAATTCTTGCAGAGATCAACTTAATTATTAAGTTCATGTTACTTAGAAAAGTGTTTTATTGTGGCCAAAAAGCCTCTTCACCTAACTTAAAACATTATGTTGGATCAACTTAAATACTTGCATTCATATTGACAATTATTAAGTTCATGTTACTTAGAAATGTGTTTTATTGTGGCCAAAAAGCTTCTTCACCTAACTTAAAACATTATGTTGGATCAACTTAAATACTTGCATTCATGTTGACAATTATTAAGTTCATGTTACCAGTACTGTAACCCTAACTTAATGCGCCTTAACCACAAGGGCATTTCTCCCATTTCAGCGAGCAGGGCAGGGACTGGGGAAGTCCTGAGGGCCCCACAGCAGATCCTCAAAGCCCTTGCATGCACCACATCTAACTTAGCCATGACAGTTTTAGAAGCAGATCCATAGACAAAACTCCCATAATCAAGCCCCCGACTCACACCCACCCAGACTTCTCATAACATTCAGAACTTTTTCACATTTCAACACAGTTTTATCTACATGCACAGCCCAAGTCATCCGCTCTTCAAACCATACATTGCATTAAATTATTTTTTAAATTGAAATATAGTTTAGCAGGTTGGATTAAGTTAAGGCTTTTTATTTTTGCTCGTCCATTTAATGGCACATTGGAGCTAACGTTAGCCATCAACTCTGACACGTTATTAGTTATTATTAAGCCGAATTTTATGCTTATGTTAAATGTGATTGTTATTAAGCCATGTTTTATATGTGTTGGTGGAGTCAATTTAAAGTTAGCTACACTTAACCAGTAACAATTATTTGATGTGTTGTTGTTTTTTTCTTTTATTGCCAGAAACCACAGAAAAAATAGGAGGTAGCATGATGTGGCCACCACTGGCATCTTGTCTGAGCAGGGTAAAAAGAAGAAGGAGAAGTAGGAAAGCAACACAGAAAATAAACCAAAAACAGTATAAAATACCTTTTATATTTCCCCTTACATGCCTTGTTGTTTATGTGTAAATACTGCGCTTTATTCTGATAAAATAAAAGGTTTGTCACAGATAAATCAGATGATTGTGAGAGTCATCCTTTTTTTCATTATTGCTAAAGTAGTTGCCTTTACATCCAAAGGTCTAAAGATCTGTTGATCTTAACTGTGGACTGTTCATTCATTGTAGACACTGAGAATGAACTTAAGTATGTAGCTGTTCACATACTGTACAGTATGTAGCCTAAGGAACAATCCTTGTCTTACAGCAGACTTAGACCATTGAACTGGTCACCTTAGCCATCATCGCAACAATTGCCCCTGAGAAATTTGGCAGGAGCCGCCACTGGTTTTAAGCGTAGACTGTATAGGTTTTAAGACATACAACCGGCTGCAGTGTAGGTGGACATCAATATTCTACATTGCTGCTCTACTGAAATGCAAAACAATGATTTAATAATTCATTTAGAGACACTTACCACGGGGAAAATGGTACAGTAAAAAATCCGATGGTTGACAGTTGAAATCCGAGAGAAGGAGTTGGGCGGGGCGTTCCGGAGTAATTCTTATTGAAAGGTTTCTTCCAACTAAGGAATATATCCAAATTAAGAACACTGGTGTCAAAGGGTGAGTTGGAGATGATCATTCATGCTTTTATTTCCTCTCATTTGGATTATCTATTACTTGTTTGAGCAAGAAGGAGCTTTACCGTCTCCAGGCTGTTCAGAACTCTGCTACAAGGCTTTTAACTCACATTAACAGAAGAGCGCACATCACACCTAGCAGCACTTCACTGGTTACCAGTCCAGTATAGAATTCAATTTAAAATCCTGGTTCTTACTTTTAGAGCCTTGCATGGTCAAGTTCCTCCCTACATCTCTGAGTTGATACAGCTTCATACTCCAACCCGTAGTTTGAGGTCATCAGGTCAGAGGTTGTTAGTGGT